TGCGGGCACAGCGCGGGTCCCGCTGCAGGGAGGGGGCGAAGGGGAGGGCGAGGGGGCCGCTTACCCCGTTGGCCGCGGCCATCTGAACGACGATCTCGATGGCCGTCTTGCTGAAGTACCTGCCGTCGCTGCCCACCACCATGGTGCAGCCCTGCCGGTCGCGAAGGTCGACGGAGGAGAGCAGGCTCTGCACGAAGTTGGGCAGGTAGTTGCGCTGGCTCTCGAAGAGCGCCGTGGCCGCCGCAGCCCCCCGCCGCCCGGCGGCCGGCGTCCCCTAGGCGCTGTCTCACGCAGCAACCGGATGGGGGTCCGCTCCAGGGCCGCCGCCCGCGCCCGCGGCGTGGGCTCCGCTGGCAGCGGCAGCCCTGGCGCAGGGTGCCGACCAGGCGGAGGGAGCCACAATGGCGTCTCCCCCGGCGGGGCGGCCAGCTCAGCCCTCGCGGCCCGTGGCGGGAGCCCGGCGCCGCGGGAGCCGGGGCGGGCGCGGGTGCGCGCGCCCCTTCCCCGCCCGCCCCGCCGGGGCCCCCGCCGGCGCCTGCCGTCAGCGAGGGTGCTCGCGGCTCGACAGGCCGCTGCCATCGCCATGCGGCGGCCCCGGCCAAAAATAACCTTGGAAAGCGAAGCCGAGAGCTGCGTCTCCTGCCAGGGATGTAATTGGAGGCAGCGAGGAGCGGGCGAGCCAGCGCCACACACTTGCTCGGGGGGATCACGGTCTGTCAGCGCTGGGGCCGTCCCCCGACCCCCGCCGGCCGCCGCCGGGCCGCAGCAGCCGCAGCAGCCGCCTACCTCTGGGCATGGAGAACAGCCGGCGGCAAAGCTTAGTTCACTGACATATGTGTTCATTCTGGTTTAATTAGATGCAGAGGTGGTGGCCCTAGTGATTGTGAAGATGCCTGGCGTTTCCCTGTATAAAGGCCGTAACTGTTACAGATGCCTGTAACTGTCAAACATCAGCAGAATTTTGCCATCCAAAGGCTGGTTTCACACTGCACCCACGCAGGACAACCCTGTTGGCTGGAGAGCTGGAAAAAATAATTGTGTAACCTCGATGTCATTCTTGTGTTAAAGAAATCCCTGGTGTACACCTGCACCTGAGCAGGCAAAAGCAATTTTGTAAGGCATTTTTCTGCTCTCTACGAAAGAGACTGCTCATAAACTTCCTATAAGTCCAACAGAGTGTCATGGCTCAATAAGACAACAGGTTAGCTCTGTGACAGGAGGTGGCTGGGCAAACATGGGGTAAACTGCTTTTATCTCTTACACAGACTAAGAACTCATTAGGAATCAGTGAGCGTCACCTGATGAATGGTAACAAGAGGAATTCAGTCATGGTTTTGACCTCTATTTCTATAGACTCTTTGGTGGTTCATAGCAGACAGAGTGTGACAGTTTCAGATACAATTGTCTGCTACACATCCATCCCTTTGCCAGGACCACTGCCGTTGCAGTAGAACACTATGCATGCTACGGTAGGCAAGGCCCAACACTTTAAATAAAAATTTAAATAAAGTTTAAAGTTTAAATAAATTAATCCACTGAAGCAGATACAGGAATTCTAGCTCCATTGACAGAACGCTCTTATATGGGGCCATATACTCTCACAGAGAACCAGAGCACGTACAAGGAAGAAGTAATCTCTTCTCTTTGTTAGACCTCCTAGCCTGTAGTCGTGATTGTGGCTTCTTGTACTGATTCAGAATGAATTTTAAAAAGCAAAAGGAAACAAATCGGCCCTGTGGAAATGCCAGATCTCAGATTCATACTGTAAACAAGGCACAGCTATAGATGAGATTGCTATATCTCAGATAATTTTGGGCACTGCCACCAGTGAAACCATGACATATAGTCTGCATTAGTGAAAGCTGAAATAGAATAGGATAAGTGCTATCTACCACAGCAAGTACCCAACAAGGAAACAGCAACAAAGATCAGAAACATTAGAAAGAACAAATTATAAGATCAAAATGCGAAATAAAGGAAAACATATGACCAAAGTAAGAAGAAATGCAATAGTCTTTGAATAAAGAGTAGACTGTATTTTTCATATGTATTGGGGAAATGTGTTCAGCATTTGGAAGAAAATATATCAGTTTGAATCAATGTTAAAAATTCTGAAAACATTCCCAGAATATACATTTAAAAGGGACAATCAGCGACAATTTTCCAGAACTACTTGTCTCAACTCATATCATTTATGTAAACATTACTGAAAAATAATGAAAAAGTGTGTTTTACAGTCTTTTCAAGCATTCTCTTGACAAGGGCTCTACCAGAAGTGTAATGGGTTATTGAAATGAGCACTGTAAATTTTTTAGTTCAATCTCAAGCTCTGCTTGAGATAAGCCCAAGCAAAAGTATGCGTCACCCCTCTTTCATTGTGATTTCTGTAATACTTTGCAAAATTCAGTTTCATAAAATCATACTATTTCAGGAGGAGCTCAGATTTTGTTTTTTAAAAAAAATTACCAACCTTCACAGTAACAGTACAAAGCATGAAAAAGTTAGTGTAGAGAGCCTGAACATTTTAGTACAAAAGCTGAAGAAGAAAAAAATTCTTACTTTTTGAAATAAATTCTTCAATTTCCCAGTACCCAGAGTAGCATTATGTTGATCCATGTGAAAGTGCTTCAATTTGTCTTTTATATCAACTCAAGTCCCACAAGCAGTTCTACTCTCAGCAGATTTCATTGAAAAGTGAAGGTCTCTGTAAATTGCCAGTATTACAGTGCATTAAGTGATTACTGCTGTGTATCTCTAACAAATGACTAATTATCAATGTGGGATGATATTAAAAGTCTGGAATGTCTTGTTGGAAAACAACAGCTAAATTTATTCTTCATATTACCATAGCGTGTTGTGAGTTAGTTTTTGAGAGGTTATTAAAATAAAAAATAACTTAATGTAGTGATAAGATACATGTTAAATTTGTTCCATTTCCAAGTAAAAAGTTACCTTTCTGACTGCCAGTTTTAGAAACTTGGTTTGACGTATGCTGTCTGTTCAGGAATATTTTCACCCCTTTTAATTCTTGAGCCTTAAAATGTTTACCATAACTCATTTGTCTTGTGATAACAAGACAATGTTAATTACTTTAAGAGCTACAACTTTTATGTTTGCTTATCTTTTTTTTTTTTTTTTACCAGCACTGTTCTGGTGTCTTTCTTTGTTCTGTTAGGTCAAATTTTTTCATGTACTGAACTGGGAATTGGGTTGTTGCCTGTGTTGACTCGAAGGAAAGAAGTCTGTCCCATAGCAACAAAAACCTTTTATAGCCACACAATTCTGATTCAGTTGATCTGGTGACCTGAGGTGTCCCCTCTGCAAAATGGCAGAAGTTACTGATGGATCTTCTTAAAGCTAGATTATGGAAGCCCAGCCCAGCTCTGATTTGATGCCAATATAACAGAACTTGCTGTGGACTTGAAGCTTACTTTCTGTTAAGGAAAAATATTTTGTATCAGCTTGCAAATGTTGCAGCAGAACTGAACCAGCACCATTAACTGAGCAAGTTAACTAAGCAAGGTCTTTCAGTTTAACCATTAAGCTCATAATGCATCACTAGTATAGTACACCTGAGTTTTAGATGAAAACATATTTCTACAGTTGTTTCATGTAAAATGTCTTTCAGATAGAAATATGGATACTCAAAATTAATTCAGCCGTTCCCCATGGTGCTGTATTTTGAAGTTCAAATTCTCATTCTGCCACTGAACAGGATATTCCAGTTCCTCTTATAATGCAGTTATCATTTGAAGAATGGCATAGACTTACTATAAGATGATGATTGTTAACCTGAGCTATTGAAAAAAGCATCTTGCAAAAAATTTCTAAAAGTAAATTGACTTAACTAAACCACTCCAAGAATTACAATACAATTAATGTATTGTTTTGCTAATAAAAGCAAAACCAGTTTTAAAACCCAGTACTTCTAAATGAGGCATTTCCTACATGTGAATACTTTGTTTGCAATCACCTTTGTTTCAAAATGTAAATTACTTAGACTTTAAAAAAAATCTAGAAGAGAATAAATTGAAAAATTTGTAGGTATTTTGACTGACTTGATCTGTCTTGTCTTTCAGCTCTCAAATAAAAGTCTTTCAATGCAAGCCTTTCTATTATTGTTAGAAAAGGCAGAGAAATTGTATTTTACATTTTTTTAGGAAAGTTAGTTCCCTAGTAGTGGACCTTTATTGAGAAGTATGATCTCATGGATACCACAATTCAGGTTGTTTTCTGGAAATTTTACTTAGTCACCACTACAGTTGTAAGTCTCTAATTACTGTGAAATTGTTCTAAGGAACATTTTCACAGAAACTTGCATGCAAATTGATTTACAAAACTCAAACACGAAAAATTCCCTGAAAACATATTTCTGATAACTGATAATTGATTTAATGCTATGTCAACATCACTGCTCTGTGATGTTGTATAAGTCAGGTCCGACTTACAAAATTGCCTGTTACTATTCATCTAATCGGGAGAAACAAGGAAGGAAGGAAGGAAGGGACTGAGGAAGGGAGACAGGATAATCATCAATCATTAACCTAACAGAAAAAGCAACTGTTGTAAAAAGAACATCCTCCAAAATGTCCAAATACTGCGGGAAGTTTATTCAGATAAATTTGTGCATAGCAGAGAAAATCAAGACCAATGTCCATTTCAAAACTACAACAATATCGTCACTCAAATTAGATATCTTAGAATCACTGACTAATTTTTTCTTTTCCAGTGTTACTGACAGACCAGTCCCATCACTCTTGTTTTCAACAAGTAATTCCACAGAAATACTCATGCAAGGGCATTGAATGCTAGGCCAATGTGGGGAAGAAGCAGAATCTGAACATGGACCCAAGCCATGGTCTCTGTCCTCACTCTAGTCCTGCCATGAGTGGAGCAAGCAACTGACTCTTTAATTTGCCTTAACAGCAGCTTGGAATGTGACTCACCAGCATGGGAGAGAAAACAAAATGTAATTCGTGGGAGTCGAAGTAAGCTCATTCTCCAATCATGCAAGGGGGTATGCAATGCTTCTCCTCTGAATATGTCACCTTATTAGCAAGAGCACCATTTTGCTTATTTACACAGCTTGCTTAGATCACTACCTGTTATGCATTCTTTGTAGGTTAAGGAAAAATAAAAACTGAGAAGTTGAAGTCTTACTCCATGTGCTAGATTTGCTAGATGGCTGTGTGGACCAAACCAGGCACTGCTGTGCAATGACTTTTGCTGAATATCTGAACTCCACGACATAGTGGATATGCTTCTGGACCGCTTCTCATTAGGCAGATCATCTGGATTGGCACAAGGGGATCAAGGGTGGAATAAATGCTTAATTGATAAAAATACTGTAAGTAGTATATGGTTCAAATTTTTCCTGGTATTGTTCAGTAACATTTGTTTAAGATCTGCTAGATTCAATCAGTCAAATGAGCTGTAAAATTTGTATAATTGTTTAGACTCACACTAACCACTTAGGACATTTGCAGAGTGCATCTTCTGGGAAGAAAGTCTGATTTTTCACTTGAGTTTATGTTGTGAATTATACACAGACATGAGTTAGGGTTTTTTTTAATCTTTTTTTAGTGGGGATTAAAAATAAATTAATACCAGAAAGTTCAGAATAGAATGATGACCCATCAGCACATGCAATGTTTGTTGCTGTCATTTAATTAAGTACCGATTGGGAAGTAACATGATTCAAGGGTGGAAAGAGTTATAATGGGGAGTTATAATGAGTAAGGAAAAGGCTAGGGATGGGAAGGTAGTATACAGCCTCATGATCTCCTTTCTTGAACTCTGTTCAAGAAAGCCTGACAGAGTTCAAGAAGTGTTTGGACAACTCTCTCAGACACATGGTGTGAGTCTTGGGGTGTCCTGTGCAGGGCCAGGAGTTGGACTTTGATGATCCTTGTGGGTTCCTTCCAGCTCAGAATATTCTATTATTCTGGGGTTCTGACTGGAGGAGAAGGCTGTTTGTACTGCCAAGTAAGCACCATGTTGTCAAGGCCTGATTTAGGAGGAACTTACTTCATATACACTGTGGAAGACTTACACTTCCATTTGTGGTTATTTACCAATTATGTCATGAGTTAAGAGTAGAAACTTTATCTATATGATTGGCATTCCAGCACATAATGTGGAAAGAACAAAGCACAACCTACAGACTGTTCCTACTGCTGCAGACCTGCAGATTTTAGATCTGATTTTCAGAGGTGCAAGAAATAGGTACTACCAACACCTCACCACTGCATCCAAAAAGAGTGACATATGATTTGGCCTTCCAGGCTGTAATGCTCAGATGGCATCATGTTCTGTAACTATGACAAAATATGTCTTACAGATGCTGCTAACTGAATGGCCTCTTGTTATAGGTTATAAATCTGAGAGAGAAATTTTTCTTTCCCTGCTTCCCTGTAAGAGAAACAGAGTTCGAATAGGGAAGGGGAAAGGGAATCAATTAGCCTTACAAAAGAAATGGCTGGCCAGGCTGCATTCCATGCTAATGGCCCGTTGAATGCTGGAGTGAGGGGGGGAAGGTTTTGGAGATTTGGGGAGCTGGCCACTCTGACAGAGGACAGGTCAGACTGCGGAGTTCTCTCACCAAGTCAGAGACAGGGACTGTGTCCGGGCATTTCTGGAGGAAAAGCCTGGGAGCCAGTCTTTCTGGTTCTTTCGTCCTGGGGAGGCCTGACCACTGGCCTTGCGCCGCCACTGCCTCGTGACTCCAGCTGGGACCTACTGGTTTTTTTTTTCATCAGAGAGGTCTGTGCTTGCTGGGAGAGAAGGGGAGAGCCTTGGAACACCATCATCTGGGAACAGTGAGTCCCGTAGGGGTGAACTGCTTTCCCTTCTGCCTTTCTCCCATTAGGAGAAGGGTCCCCATTTTCCTTTCGGCTTCTCCCGCGATCCCAGACCCCCCCAGACCCCCTTCCCGCGCGGTGACCGCCAGAGCCCGACAGCGCCCCCTGCAGGCCAGCACCGAGAACGGCAGCTCTGCACCTCCGGCGACCCAACAGCGCCCCTGCAGGCCACGGTCAGGACTGCGCCAAAGACAGAGGAGTATTCAGACTTTCTTTTGTTTGAAGGGAACTTCTGGGTACAGGACTATTGTTTAGTTGTTTTTATGTTCTGTTACTGTTCTTGCCAATATACATATATCTTTTAATAAAGGGTTGTTATTTCTTCTGGTTTTTTTCCACACTTCCTCGATTAAAGCCCCTTAATTTTGAATTTACAATTGTTGAGAGAGAGAAGTTTGGTCTATCTCATAACTCATCCTCTTTAGTAAACATTCCAGTCTCATCAGACTGTGACACCTCTTCCACATCGTAACCCACTTGTGCACTGCAAATTCCTGGCAAACAAATAACTTCAAGGTCTAAATTCCACTCCTTACAAGTGAGCACATTCTCTATGTATGTCTATCTTTCTCAGTGGTGGAATTACTGAGTGAAAATTACTGAATGAAAATCTCAGCTGAGACACAATGATTTGTTTGATCCTGGGAGCCTGGGCAGTGATAATACAGAAATGAGACACTCGTTCTCAAATTCATCCTGTCTATCTACCTACTAACCCAGGGATGCTAAGTAGTAAAGGTAGCAGGAAAACTGCTAGGTTTCTTGCTGTACTGACAGATTAGTACATGAAACAGAGACTGAATTTATAGTAGAGATCTATTGTCCATCCGTTTTAGAAGCCCATGATTTTAACATTAGGTCAAAGCCTATAAGAAGTTTAAAAACTCAGAGGAAGAAATGTTTCCACAACACCCCTTCACAAACATATCTGAAGGAAATTACACACTCAACATAACGATTGGTTCAGGGATTCCTTGTCTTATACCAGCTTCTACAACAACATAGCAAGGTAAGTAAAGCAAAATGCCATTGCCCTGCTCTGAGTCTAAGTGTCTCTGACAAGAACTCAAAGCAGTATGTAAAAACAACTCCTTTGAATGGGGGAGGATTTTAAAAGTAGCTTTATTTGGGAGTTTTTGGGGAAGTCACAATACGTTTAAGTCCCTCAATTTACCAATCAAGTTAACTGGTGTTTTAGAAAGCACTTAGAGACCTAGGGATTAAAATGCCCTATTTTAAACAAGGCTCCCAAACAGAATTCCAGTGATCCTTAAAAAGTGTCAATTTTATGGTTTTGATCACTTTGCATAGTTGCTTAACTGTTTGCTTTCGGTGTTTTTGCACCCACTGAAAAATGAATAGTTAACTTCACTATATGGGCTGTGTCTGACCCGGACAAAGCACGTGAGATTTTTCTCTTCTTAAGATTTCTCCTCCGCCTCATGTCAAAGGTCAAGTAATTTTTCAGCATACATAATCTAAATTCTACATGAGAAATTGATTTTGCCAGGGAACTTGTTGTATACTCTGACAATAGCTGATGAAAAGAAGAAAAATTTCTCACAGCAACACACCATATCTGCTAATAACCTTTCCACATCCAAGTGAGTCTGTTTCTGGCCACCAATGAGGTTAGACAGCACTGCTTCAAAATTATAAAAATAATCCAAAGGTCCAAACAAAAATCAGACAAAATGAGTCAAAGATGTAATTTCCAGATACCTCAGGAGATTTGGGTCTGAGCCCTGGTTTGCAGCTGAAACCCCCACGTGGCTGCAGGTGCCACCATGAGGTGGGGAAAGTGGTAAAGCAGCGCCTCCTTCTGTGGGGATATCTTCTCCATCAACCTCTGTTGAGGCTCTGCCCACAGGAAAAGACTGATTTCATTTTCCCTTATGTACCATATCCTCTGGCTCATCTCTGAGAAGTTTGCTCTCACTTCTCACTACCTGCAAGCCAGGAAATGTGCTTGGTTAGGTACGGCAGATTAGTTGGAGGGGGAACCTTCAGGCCCTGGGTGCCAGCCCATTACTTGGAAGTGAATGCTCTTCCCCCCTGCCCCCACCACGTGGCCCGGCGACCCATAAGGAGCTCACACAGACCACCAGGGAGGGACGGACGAAAGAGGAAGTTTATTGTGGGGATAGGGGTTTATAAGGCTTTTAGGAGGGTTAAAAGGGGACCAATTACAGGTTCAGGGTCTTACAGAAAAACCAATCAGGTAAAGAGTTAACAGCCAATAGGAAGGGATTAACAAAGGCCAGTGAGAAACATCTCAGGACATCTTCCCAGGGCACTCCTGCATGGGAGATAAGAGTCCTTCACAGAGGGTGTCGAGAAGAAGGAACAGTGACTTTGCTGAAATACAAAAAGCCATTTTGAAACGTTTAAACCACAGTTTCTCATATAATACAGATTTACTGCCACAGTTAGGGATAACCATTTGAATGTTCACCTTTGGAAACTTTTGTCAGACAAACTAACTCTTTGTTTTGGTGTGTCTTCCATTCCTGGTCTTGCCTAACCTTTCATCTAGTCTCAGATAAACCCAGGGTAACTTCAGATTTTCTTATTTGTATTCTTATATTCCATGAAAGTGTAAGTGGAAAAAAAAATTGATGTGCTGTGGAAAATAAGTGTGGCTGTACTTGGCAGTTGCAATAAAAGGATAGCTGAAGTAAAATAATAAAATGCAGGTGTGAAGTAGGGCATTTCCTTTAGATTGCCAGAAACACTGAGTTAATGTATATATTTATACCTGTAGTCCACACCTGTGTCGAAGTCTTCAGCACCTACTGCTGCAAAAATGAATTTGTCATGGAACTGGCTTGAACAAGTCTGTCATGTTTAGACCACAATGCATTTAGGGAATTAACAGGCTGGCTTACTTATTCTAGAACTACCAGTTCTTTTTCCCAGGATGCTCCTCTTGCCCAGAAGTGGAGGGTTATTTCTATCTACCTCTTTTACCAAGGGTGCTGGTTTGACTTGCTCTTGTTGACCTTTTGTGGTGGCACATCCCCCACCCCCACCCTAACCCTGTTGCCTGTCAGGTTTTACTTTGAATCAGATTATGTCGATAATGCCAATTCCCATCTAGTCTCTTCCATGGCCACATGATTAATGAGCAAACACCTACTAGACTGGCAATGTACTAGGGCTTCTGGACCTTTATTTTTAGTTTTTCTCCAGTGTTGAAGCTATCCCTGCCTCAAGACAAAATAATTTTTCTGGCATGACTTGGGCCAAAGTTTACAAGCTTGTCTTTCAGTATTCCTAAGATCACATTCAAGTGGAAGGTGCTGGAAGCATACTTAACAACATATGACAATTTCTTCTTTACAATAGCCATTGTTAGAAATAGTTGGAAAGAGGCTCACATAAATTTGGAGTTGGGTCTTTGAGGACCCCATACACATTTTCTTCGTGTAATCTCTAAATCAAGGGTGCATTATGGCAGAGCATAATTTCTCATCCATCCTACCCTTTCCCAGCAGCGCTGTATGCATCCTTTCCTGCATGCCAAACCCTGGGTAGAATCCAGCATCCCAGGTTTAACATTTGTGATTTTCCTGATTCCGTCAGTGTAATTGCCTTTAACTGGTCCAAAGCAGGGGTGCTTTATTTGGCAGTTCTTCAAAGAGCATAAGCCGATGCAGCTTTATTGATATATGCAAAGCTAAACCAAGCAACAGGAGCTGTAAACCACTACACCATGAGTAGTATATTACAGATGAGAGTACAGACGATTACAGACGATATGCCACTGTACATCCTGTAGCATCAGGAATAACTGGGGAGAGTGGGGAGAACAATAAACTAAAAAGATGCTATAGAGAAGCATCTGTCCAGTTTTTAAAGAACATGGTTAAAGTTATCCCTCTTCCTACAGTGGGGGGTGTGGAAAGCTAAAGCTTACCTTCTCAGGCACCTTTGACATCAAAATTCAATCATGTAATGATGTCAGTGAAGTCCTTCAAAAAATGTGAAGTCAGTATTCTATTTTAGAAGAAAGGGGAAAGAATTTGCAGGGAAAAAAAAATCTCACTGTGATTTTAGACTGAACCACCAGTAAAGGGATACAGGTTTTTTTAGTCTTCATAAATCCTTTATTATACAGAAAGGGCATAACATTAAAATCAGACATAGAATTTCCTAGAAGACTAAATCCACATCATTGCAAAGCTAACAAACAGTTGCTGAAATAAATGTTACCACTAGATGACAGCAAATATCTGTTTACTGTGACATTTTCCTACCTGTGAGCAGATCAATTACTAGAAGGCAAAAACAGGCAAAGAAATGGAGGAGCTGGGATAAATCCCCATTTGGAAACAAATTCTGTTTCTCATGGAGACAACAGTTTTTCATTGAGTAAAATTTACTTACTGGGTAGTAAATTCTTTTTTAGCCCAGGTAACATGTGGCTTTACAGTCTTAACTTTCAAGGAGTTGTCCTCTGAGATATTAGGCTTTCTGATAGTCTTGTTTGCAAACCGGAACTCCAGAAACGGCGTCAGTTTGGATTTTTACTCACCTTCCTCCAATTCCTTCTAAGGCAAATGCTGATCCCACAGGTGTGTTTTTGGGAACAAGTAGCAGAATTTTTACAAAGAGGCAAATAAAAATATTATGACTTAAGCAGCTTTATTTATCCAGGCTATTATTTCTAAGCAACCTGACCTAGTCGAAGATGTCCCTGCTCAGTGCAGGGGGTTGACTTTTAAAAACTATTTTATAATTCTGTGATTCTATGGTTATAACTGAGTCCTCCTGGAAAATACAGTTTAAATGTCACATGAATGTCCAGCCTTGGTTCAGGTAGCCCCCAATACACTGATGACAGCAATATCAGTCAACAACAATCAGGTCCCTTCATCTTGTTATAACATTAGAATGGCATTAAGTTGTTATACAACCCACATTTTAGACCAATATTTATAAGTAAATACAAGCAACAAGTGGGTTTTTTTTCATTTCTTAACAGGCAATACTCATCCTAGACTGCTTGATGCTTGATCTGTTACACTTGCATTCTTTTCCCAAAATTTCTATGGATGTTGGTGGATGCAGGACTGAGATCATGG